CCCCCTTTGAGTTTACTCTTAAGGGTAAAAGGAGAGCGAGATGTTTGGGGTCTTGAGTTTCTTCTGATGATTTCAAGGGCCCACATTCCTTTGCTTCATTTCCTAGCATCCTGTGGATGATATTGACAAGATGAAAGAGCGGGCTGCCATGAACAACTCCTTCATCTACATAAAGATTCCACAAGTTCCACTGTGTGTCAGCTACAAGGTCTGCACTTCTTCAGGACTTTCTGGGACCAGGTGGGAAGGGAACCAGATAAGATCAGGGATTATAGACAGGGAGATAGCCTGGTTTCTTGTGAAGCTGAGCTGTGGGTGATAAATCTGCTGTTCCCTCTGCTCCCCTCTGGAGTCAGCACCACATCCACACTGAGGTAAGGGGAATCAGTTATCTGTAGGTTGCTCTTGCAGGACTTGCATTCAGGTGACTGTCTTGGACTCAAAATGGTGACTGATATATTTTCCCCCCTTTTTTCCCCTCTCCCTTCCCCCTCTTTTTACAGGGAGAGAAGAACAGTGTGGATTGGGGTGACCTTAACCTGGTATTGCCCTGTCTGGAGTACCACAACAACACATGGACATGGCTAGACTTTGCCATGGCTGTCAAAAGGGACAGCCGCAAAGCCCTGGTTGCCCAGGTATCCCGCCAGGGCTCATGGCTGTTTGGTTAGCAGGGGCTAGCAAGCAGATCCTCTGTTCAAGACCCTTTCAATTTTAGGACATATAAACAAATATCCTTGGGAAAGAGCAGGTGAATGAAGTGAGCAACTTCTATCCCTGCCTTCTCCATGACTTCACCCGTATGATTTAAGTTGAATGTTTACTAAATATTTCACGTTAACCACCATTGAATTTAGGGAATTGAGGGCTGATAACCTTGAGTTTAGAGTTCTAATTAGATTGTAAGCTTCTTGAGAGCAGAGACCATTTTATAATTTAACTTGTCCATTGTGCTTTGCATGAAAGTTTAATAAATCTGTGTTAACTTGGTTCATTTTGATTTATTTTGCCTGTGCCACTAATATTTACCTTTCCTTTTACTCCTCTCCAAACTGCCAGGTAATCAAAGAGAAGCTAAGGCTGAAACCTGCAACAGGGTCTGAGGTTCGGGGAAAGCTAGAAACTAAATCAGACCTGAACATGCAACAGCAGCAAGAGGAGGAGAAAGCCCGGCTCCTCATTGGTTTAAGTGTGGGCGACAAGAACCCTGGCAAGAAATCCATCTTTGGCAGGCGCAAGTGATCTGGTGATCCCAGCAGCTGCATTACAAGATCTGACTCTGGCTCAGGCTCTAAGGACTTGTGGGGTGGGAGGGGATTCCCTTCATCTACCAGGATTTGTGGGGCTCAGAAGCCCACAGGCATTGCTCTTTAGCAGCTGGCCTGTTCCCTGCAGGTATGGTGGACAGTAATGCTGACTTCCATCTCACGCTGATCAGGCTCAGGGCCAGAAAGGCAACAAGAGAGCAAGACCCAGGGAATGGGCCCGGGGCAGGACCCTGTTCCCATGGGGTCAACCGAAAGGGTGGGGGGGATAGTTCTAATCAAGTGTGATAAATTTTTATAGACGTATAAAATATATATATATACATATATATATATTTCTAAGTGTAACTGCTCTCCCTCTGTGCCAGGAAACTGAAGGGAAGGGGCTGATCCCCTGTCCTTCTCTCCACTGCCTTGTATGAAAGAGGTATTAAGTGTTCTGGGAGGAATCAACCCCTCCCCAGTCTGTGTGCTAAGCTCACTTGGGAGGATGGCAATAGGAGCCAGGGCTGGCCATGGGTCCCCTACTCTTCCCCCTGGGGTATGCCCTGAAGAATGGCAAAATAATGATTCAAAGAGGAAAAAAAAATTTAAATTTGATGAAATTTGATGTTTCTTCTTTTTGATGTGTTGAGTGTATGTGTTCAACTGGTTTGTCCTTCCCTCCTTATCCCAAGACACAATGCGCAGGTGCTACTTTAATGAGGGTGGCCTTTTCCCTCTTCTGTCCTAAAGCTGTATCACAGAAATTTCTCAGCCCTAGTGAAATTGGCTACATGCTGATCGGTTTCTGCATACTGGAAGAGGTGGGGCTCATGTAATGCAGCATCAGGGAGAGGAACTGATTATGTAACTGGGATAGCAGATTTATCAGAAGGAGAGAGGAGGCAGAGGCTAGGGATGGGAGCATTGAGCTGTCGGCAGGGGCAGGACACCCAACAGGGGCAGCATACCCGGGTAGCTGCTCTTCACGAGGTAGGCAGTGGGGCTCTGGCAGCATATTGAGAGATGAGAGAGATACGGGCTTGAGGCCTAGGAAGTACCTGGTTAGTACTTGGCAGTGATGCTCAGTGTGGGGGTTGGGTAGGGAGGCTGTCTGGGAAAGGCTTCATAATCTAATACTGGCTTTGTAGTTCTAGTGCGTCATAGGGAAAATGTCCAGTGATTACTTTTCTAGAGGATTTGGATCGTGTCCAGGAAATCCAGGCCTTAGCACAAAGCAAGGGTTGTGGAAACTTTGGTATTCAAAAGTGTGCCTCTAGAGCAGTAGTTCTCAACCTGTGGGTCGCAACCCCTTTTTAACAATGAAAATACATTGCAGCATTAGGAAGGTTGAGAACCACTGCTCTAGAGGTTGAGGCTTGAGGTGAGGAAACGAGTGCCTGAGCAGAACTTTCGGAGCCTCAGAAGCAGGTTTAGAGTGGCTGCCTTGGTTCTCAGCAGGGTGGCAATATCCGGGGCCTCTGGAAGAGCCTCTGGTCAGGTGTGGGGACCATCAGATCAGGTCTGGAAGAGCTGTGGGAACTACAGGGGCATCAGTACGTGCACCAGGAGTCCCTACAGCCAGCCCCGCTGCTGGTAGAGAAGCCTCTATCTGAATGGCCAGTGCCTCAGTTCATCAATCTCTTTCTGCCGGAGTTTCCTGTTAGGCCCATTAGGGGGCAGCAGCAGCTGAAGGTAGGTCAATAGAATTCTTAAGAAGAGTCTCAGTCTATGGGAGAAATCTAGAAATAACCAGTTTCAATTGCCTTGTTCTCCATTTCTCTGTACAGATTTTAGGCCTTTTGGCTAAAGGCTCCTTTGGAACTGTCCTGAAGGTGTTAGATTGTGCTCAGAGAGCTGTATTTGCGGTGAAGGTAGGGACCTAAGTACTCCGCCACATTATTCTTTAGTCCTTGTTTCTAATTGTTCCAGAGAGGACAGGAATAAACAGCGCAATAGCACTAATCTCTATGAGTCATGATTCCTCTCCTTTTATAGGTAGTGCCCAAGGTAAAGGTCCTACAGAGGGACACTGTGAAACAGTGCAAAGAGGAGGTTAGCATCCAGGTATGCACAGAGTCCTGGAAAGGATTGTGGGAAGAGCTAAACCACAGGTAGAAAAAATATCTTTCTTGTCCAACTTTCCTTCTTTTCCTGGTTCTGCCTCCCATCTGTTTCACCTTAGTTTAACACCAAGGTAGATCCTGGGAAAAATAGCTATCAGCTATCAACAGTTTTTCCAGGTTCTGCCTAGGAAATCTCTTAAGCATGGCCCAGTGAGTTCATTAGTATTATGCTGGTTCGAGGACTACCAGGCATTCTGTCCCAATTATTGAGTTCCTCTGAACTAAGAGGTGAGACAGCCACTCCCTTTCTGCACAACTAGTTAAAACCTGATATATTGGCTGCCTTTATCCTCAGTGACCCTGTTCCCCCCTAACTTCGTGTTTTCTTTGTCCCTAGCGACAGATTAACCATCCTTTTGTACACAGCTTGGGGGACAGCTGGCAGGGAAAACGGCACCTCTTTATTAGTAAGTGACTGGCCTCTCTCCTCAACCCCAAGAGTCCTTATGTCATAATCCCCACCTGAGATTCATTTGTGTCTCTTGACTTATTCTCCCTTTGCTCTGTTCCCTTTCTCATGGCACCTCTGTATCCCAAAGGGAGGGGGAACAGCAGGTGGCAACAGTTTGAGCAGGAAACCCTACAATGCCTTAAGGCCAGGCATTGTAGCCCCCAAATACTGCCTAAACTTCTGTTGCTTTGCAGTGTGTAGCTATTGTAGCACAGATCTTTACTCCTTGTGGTCAGCTATTGGCTGCTTTCCTGAGGCTTCCATCCGTCTCTTTGCTGCTGAACTTGTCCTAGTACTGTGTAAGTGAAATAGTGGTAAAGGAAATGGGGAGGGAAGAATTAAGGTGGAGGGGAGGAAAGAATTCCTATTAACTCTGGAGGTAAAAGAATAGGGATAGGGATGGAGTGGGGACTATCAGGAAAACTGGAAAAGGCAGGAGAGCTTCAGCATATTCCATGCTAGCTGTCATCCACAGGTTATCTCCATGACTTGGGGATCATCCATCGAGATGTGAAGGTAAAGTGCTTTTTTCCTTTGAGAAGAGCCTTGATAAGACGTTCCACCAGGGCTCAGCGCCTGTGGCTCAAGTGGCTAAGGCACCAGCCACATACACCTAAGGTGGTGGGTTTGAATCCAGCCTGGACCCACCAAAGCAACAATGACGGCTGCAACCAAAAAATAGCCAGGTGTTGTGGCGGGCGCCTGTGGTCCCAGCTACTTGGGAGGCTGAGGCAGGAGACTCACTTGAGCCTAGGAGTTGGAGGTTGCTGTGAGCTATGATGCCACAGCACTCTACCCAGCGGGACAGCTTGAGGCTCTGTCTCAAAAAAAAAAAAAAAGAAGTCCCAACAGGTCCAAGAAGGCAGGAGGGAAGCTGAGAACAACTGGCCTTTGGCCCCCATGGGTGCCAAGGTTTTGAGCAAGGGCTCTCCAATGCTCGGTGGGGCATGTTCTTCAGCGGGGGGACATACATGATGAATGAGTTGAAAGAAAGAGGAAGAACAATAACTTTTCCCTTGTGATTTTTCAGATGGAGAATATCCTTCTGGATGAACGAGGTAAGTTTTTTTTTTTTTCTCCTTTCCTTAGCCCCAGGATGAGAGATGGGTCATGGCTGATTAAGGGGGGAACAGAGTGGTGGTGATGTCTTATCTTCTTTCATAGGCCATCTGAAACTGACAGACTTTGGTCTGTCCCGCCACCTCCCCCAGGGATCCCGAGCCTATACGATTTGTGGTACTCTTCAATACATGGGTGAGAAAGGCTAAAGCTGGTGGGTAAGCATTGGGTGGTAGGATAACCAAAGGATGTCAGTGATGAATATCTTTCAAATCTGTAGCCCCAGAGGTCCTGAGTGGAGGACCGTACAACCATGCTGCTGATTGGTGGTCCCTAGGTGTCTTGCTTTTCTCTCTGGCAACTGGAAAGGTGAGAGAATGGTAGTAGTGTTAGGCAGAGAAAAAGAGCTTGCACTGTTGTGGGAAGAAGGAAACGTTAGGAAATATTGCCTTATTCCTACTAAGCAACAACACCCATACCCCCAACATTCTTAACTCAGTTTCCAGTGGCTGAAGAGAGAGATCATGTGGCCATGTTGGCAAGTGTGACCCACTGTAGCTTTGAGATCCCATCTTCTCTTAACCTGGAGCTCTCACTCCTGCTCCGTGAGGTAAGTATGAACACTACTTTCCTTCTTGACTGCCAAAGCATTCATGCTCTCATTCCCTTCTCATTAAAGTGGTATTTCCCCCATTCCTCTGATTAATTTGGGGGAGAGGGGCTCCAATTTAACTACTTGAACTCTCTAACCAATACTTCAGATTTCATTCCTGAGTTCCTAGTTCCCCCAAATCTCCTCCCCATCCAGAACAGAAGGTCCCTTCTGAGACAGTAGACCAGCACCCTACTCTTAATCATCTGAAAACTCACAAATACAGCCCCTATCCTCAGTTTCTCCCTTGTTTACAAGACTTATCCTCTTTAGGGTTCTTTCTCTTCCCTTCCATAGCTCCATGAACTTCTTTCTCCTTTTCCATCTCCTCTGGTCAGTCCCTTCCTTGTCCTAGTCCCTCATCTTCATGCTCTATTTCCCTTCAGCTCTTGTGCCAGAACCCCCTCCACCGTCTACGTTACCTACATCACTTCCAGGTCCACCCTTTTTTTCGGGGTGTGACCTTTGACCCAGAGCTCCTACAGAAGCAGCCAGTGAACTTTGTCATGGAGACAAAAGCTACCCAGACCAGTCCACTGGAGTCTATGCCCTTCAACGACTTTGACTGTGATTTGGAGTCCTTCCTGGTCTACCCCATCCTTGCTTGAGCCTTTCTGCTGTACTGCCCCCTTATACAACCCTCCTCTAAAGTCAGCATCTCCGATCAACATCTTTTCCTTTGCTTTACTTCTCCAGCATGCTTTCATCAAACTGTCAGCTAGAGGTTCTTCCACTTTTCCATCTCTTTCTCTGCCATGTTTCCCTTCTTGATCAATAAGGACATGAGCTCTTAAGGTGCTATTGATGTGTTTAATAGGCTTGTCAGAAGCAATATGAACATTTTTCAAAGACTGGCATTTCATCCTTTAAACATGCAGCTAAAACTATGATCTGGGGGCTACAATAAATCTTATTTTTTAAAATTGAAAAGTTAATCTAATAGTCTGATGTGGGGAAGTAAATAGAAACTGAAACATTGGAAGATTGTCTCCTCTAGAGGTTATTGGAATGGCCATTCAAATCTTTTCCAAAACAAAACCTCTTCAAAAAACATATGGATTTTCTCCTAGATAGCTCAGGATTCATTTTCTGATGGTCAGACCAAGGGATTAAGATTTAAATTTAGAGATATATCTTAAGAACCTTTTCCTTCAGTAAGGAAAATCATCTGGATCTTGAATTTGTACACATTTCTGGCTTTTATGACTTCTTTTCACTTTAATGTCTCAAAATTTTAGTTTTTGGTCTGAGATTTGAGGTGAAAATATGTTTTGATCTATAGCATATTATTATTTAGTTCTATCTGATCACTCTTGCAGACCAAAGAGACTTTGTAGAGTACACTATGTACTTTATTTATTGTTTCTGGATTAACCCACATTTTCCCTGTACATAGCTGGTATTATATTGGCCTCTGCAGAATTGCTTTTCAGTAATCCATATGAAATGACCATGAAAATTAATTGTTTTGGATACTGTAAGGAGTGTTTATCATTACAGTTCATAATGTTTTATTTAATGATATATGGGAGAAATTTTCTGTGGATCCAGTTGTGCTTTTCCTGAGTTGGTGTTTGGTTTTTACCTTAAGGACATTAAATATTCAATTGACTATTTTCCTCTTTGTACTGATGATAGAACATTTAGAGCCCAATTTGTGGCCTACCTTCCAGTGTTTATGTATTTTGTGTACTTTTCATGTTCTTGGTTCCCTCTTCCTTTTTTCTTTTCTACCTTCATTTCCTTGTTCTCATTTTTCTAACTTTAATCTTTTTGTATTACTAAATTTTCTGCATCTTTATAAGCCTTTTCGGAATAAGGTTGGGATATAAATAAATAAAATAAAGTATCTTTCATTCTTTTATCTTATTTGATGGTATGAGTGTAGTCTGAGTTATTTTTTTACCAAATGACATTTTCTTGCTTTTTTTTTTTTTGAGACAGAGTCTCAAGCTATTGCCCTGGGTAGAGTGCCGTGGCATCATACCTCATAGCAACCTCCAACTCTTGGGCTCAAGCTATCCTCTTGCCTCAGTTTTTCTATTTTTAGTAGAGACTGGGTCTTGCTTTTGCTCTGGCTGGTCTCAAAACAAAATCATAAGCTCAGGCGATCCACCCACCTTGGCCTCCCTGAGTGCTGGGATTATAGGCGTGAGCCACCGCTTTATTCATTGTTTTTGATCTCCAGCCTAAGTTACTTTATTATATATTGATCTGTTCATTTTGATTTAACAAACTGGTAATCTCAGTTTCTTTATAGAGTCTGGCTACTTTATAGAGTCTTTAGACTGGGTGCAGTGGCTCATGCCTACAATCCTAGCACTTTGGGAGGCCAAGGCAGATGGTCGCCAGAGCTCAGGAGTTTGAGACTGGTCTGAGCCAGAGTGAGACCATGTCTCTACTTAACCCCCCCCCCCCCAAACACACACACAAAACTAGCCAGGTGTTGTGGTGGACATCTGTAGTCTCAGCTACCCAGGAGGCTGAGGCAGGAAGATCATCACTTGCGCCAGAGGTTTGAGGTTGCTAGCTCAGTGCCTGTAGCTCAAGTGGCTAAGGCGCCAGCCATATACACCAAAGCTGGCGGGTTTAGATCTAGCCTGGACCTGCCAAGCGACAATGACAACTACAACCAAAAAATAGCCAGGCATTGTGGTGGGCACCTGTAGTCCCAGCTACTTGGGAGGCCTGAGGCAAGAGAATCACTTAAGTCTAAGAGTTTGAGGTTGCTGTGAGCTATGATGCCATGGTACTCTACCAAGGGTGACATAATGAGTCTAAAAAAAAAAAATAACTATGCCTCCCAGAGTGCTAGGATTACAGGCGGGAGCCACGGTGCTGGCCAGGAAAAAAAAGAAAAAAGAAAGAAATATTTTCTTTGATCATTGAACTACAGAATCCTTTTAATCACAAGGATAATGCTTTATTATGGAAGAAAGCTATTCCTAGTTGAATCTTAATTAACATCAAAATTTTGATTAAGTGAAAGTAGGCATTAGACATATTTGGTGTTTTTAAAATAAAGTGATTTATAAGGCAAAAATAAATAGAGTCTTTAGTGTAGAAATTTTATCAAAGCTTTTCTTTTTAAAAATCATATTCATTGCATTATCTGCCCCTTATGGGCTGAATTGTATCCTCCCAAAAATATGTATGTTGAAGTTTTAATCCCCAGTACCTCAGAGTTTGACTGTTTTTTTTTTTTTTTTTTGTAGAGACAGAGTCTTACTTTATTGCCCTTGGTAGAGTGCCGTGGCATCACAGCTCACAGCAACCTCCAACTCTTGGGCTTACAGTTCTCTTGCCTCAGCCTCCCAGTAGCTGGGACTATAGTGCCTGCCACAATGCCTGGCTATTTTTTTGTTGCAGTTTGACCAGGGCCGGGTTGAACCTGCCACCCTCTGTATATGGGGCTGGTGCCCTACCCACTGAGCTACAGGCACTGCCCAAGTTTATGTTTATAGGTAGAGCTTTTAAAGAGGTAATTAAATTAGCATGAGGTCATATGGGTAGATCCTAATCCAATATGACTGGTGTCCTGCCATACACCAAGGGAACAGCATGTGAAGATAGGGGGAGAAGACAGCCATCTACAAGACAATGAGAGAGATCTCAGAAGAAACCAAACCTGCTTGGCACCTTAATCTCAGAGTTCAAGCCTCCAGAATTTTGAGAAAGTAAATTTCTGTCATTTGAGCCACCCAATCTGTGGTACTTTGTTATAGCAGCTCTAGCAAACTAACACAGTGCCTCTGAAGAGTTCTAACAGAATGATTTTTTTTTTTTTGAGACAGAGTCTCATTCTGTCACCCAGGCTGGAGTGCTGTTGTGTCAGCCTAGCTCATAGCAACTTCAAACTCCTGGGTTCAAACAATCCTGCCTCAGTCTCCCAGAGTGCAAGGATTATAGTTGTGAGCCACTGCACTGGATAAATTTTTTAAAAAAATATTTTGTAGAGATGGATTCTTGCTGTGTTGTCCAGGCTGCTCTTAAATTCCTGGCCTCAAGTGATTCTCCCACCTTGGCCTCCCAAAATGCTAAGATGATAGGTATGAGTCACCACACCCAGCCACGAATGATTTTTTTTTTGAGACAGATCCTCAAGCTGTCCACCTGGGTAGAGTGCTATGTCATCACAGCTCACAGCAACCTCCAACTCCTGGGCTCACGCGAGTCTCCTGCCTCAGCCTCCCAAGTAGCTGGGACCACAGGTGCCCACCACAACGCCTGGCTATTTTTTTTTTGGTTGCAGCCTTCACTGTTGTTTGGAGGGCCAGGGCTGAATTCGAACTCCTCACCTTAGGTGTATGTGGCTGGTGCCTTAGTC